AACTTGACTAATGCTTGTGAGCACTCCCCATCCCCAGATTCCTGTCCACCAGGTGCCTGGGCTGACCCTCCACTTTCTGGGGGTTGGGGCTTTATGTTTATCTCACACCTGACTTGCAGTGGGAATAAGATGATCCCCACTCACAGATGGGAAGACTGAGGCTTGCAAAGAGAATTCACCTTCCAAGGAAGTGGCAGGGCTGTTCCTCTGGCTGGATTGCCCAACCCAGAGAAGGGCCCATCCCAGCCCTCAGTAGCCTGCGTATCCTCCAAAGTAGATCTATCTCTACCCCACATATTCCTTATGGAGCACTGACTACCCCCTCTCCAGGTCTGAGGCCCCCAACAAGCCAGTCACCCAGGGAGAGGTTAGGGGGAGTTTCCTGGGACCCCAAATTCAGAATGAGGAGCAGGGTGGGGGGAAGTAGGGTGTCCAGGAATTTACATCTTCCTATCTGAAGAAACCAGGGCCCTAAAAATAGATAATAGACAGGAAGAGAAGTCTAAATGTAGACTCCAGACAAAGTGATGGAGACTCTGTGGGTGTGCAAACTATCCCATTCCCACCCTCCCCCTAACACACACACACAAATAGATCTGCTAGGAAGCTGGAGACACTAATGAAAGATAAATTAGCAAAACCCCAGAGACACACACTCAGCTCACAAATAACCACAGCTTCCAGGAAAGCCCTGGGGCCACTCTGCCCACCTCATGCCTGCAGAGATCCTGAGATCTCATGCACACACACACACACACACTCACGCATGCGTGTGACAGCACAGATTGGCGTGTGCTCCATCTAGGGCACTAAGACTGTTTTTATAGGCTTGCCAGACCTGTTATGTAGAAGGTGCTAAATCCACGTTCAGAGAAAGCATCTGGCAGCATGCAGCACCAGAACAGAGCAGACCAGACACCCCCACTTCTGCACCTCCTAGCTGGCCCTTTGCCCCTGCTCTGCCCTGCTCCTCAGTTGCCCTATCTGTAAAATGGAGCTTGAGGTAATGCCTTCCGATTCTTGCCTACCTCCAACGACTGTTGTAGGGCTTGAAGAAACAGTACTGGGAGGGATGGTTTCATTCTGTGGGAGACAGAAATGCCATGGGCGCTGCTGTTGTTCTCCCGCTCCTTCCAGAAGATGTCTCCTTCCCCCACTGCCATGGGCACCCCTGTGGTTTGCATTTCCAGGGTGAGGAGAGGGTCTGGTGACTCCTGGAATACTTGCCTATGCAGACTCAGGAGATAAGAGGAACCAGAGTGAGTGGAATGGAACAGGGCCCGAGATCTATGGTTTTATGGGGCTTTCCCAACTCACCACACCGGTCTGTCCCTAGGCCCTTTCTATAAAGAGCAGGCATCATTGGTTCTGAATGAACTTGACAAGGTTTCCCTAACTCAGGGCTTCAAACCCCATCAGGCCTTGTCATTCACCAATGAAAATTCAGAGGCTCGAGGCCTCTCAGAAGAAATGGGCTGGTGAGGAGTAGCTGGACAATGGCTCACAGCTGTGTGACCCGAGCAATGACCTAGCAGTGTCCTCAAACTCAATTTTGTCCTCCATCAAATGGGTATATCAATCCCTCGTCATTATTAAATGAGGTTTTCATGAGGACTAATTGAAAACAGTTGTGAAGTGCTGGTATGCAACAAGTGCTCAATAGATGCTCCAATAGCATGATGATACACGGCACAGTGGGCCGCTGGCCTGTCTGGGCTGCACTTCCAGCTCCACTACTTCTCTGTGGTGTGGTTTGGGGAATGTTTTACAAACATCTCTGTACCTCAGTTTCTACATAGGAAAACAGAAATGGCCCAGTCTGATGGCTCACACCTATAATTCCAGCTACTCAGGAGAATGAGATGGGGAGGATAACTGTTCAAGGCCAACCCGGGCAAAAAAGTTAGCATGACCCCATCTCAACTAGTAAGAAAGATGGGTGTGATGGTGCGTGCCTGCCATCCCACCTATTCAGGAAGCAAAAATAAAAGGATCAAGGTCCAGGCCAGTTCAAGCACAAACACGAAATTCTATTGGAAGAATATGTAATGCAGAAAGCATGGGGGCGTGGCTCAAGGGGTACAGCATTTACCTGGGAAGCTCTAGGCCTTGAGTTCAAAGTTCAAATCCCAGAACTACCAGAAATGAAGAGGTGGACGGAGGAAGAAGGGGAGGAAGGAAGAAAGGAAGGGAGGGAGGGAGGGAATAAAGGAAGGAAGGAGGGAGAGTGGGAAGGAAGGAAGGAAGGAAGAAAGGAAAGGAGGAAGGGAGGGAGGGGGAGGGAAGGAGGGAGGAAGAGAGGTGACATTTAGAGGGGGAGCGGGGAAAGGAGAAAGACCAGGTGACCTGGTATCAGGGAGAAATGGGACAAAAGAGAGAAGACAGAAAGGGAGACTGGTAGGCTCCCTGGTTGGGAGTCTTATCAGGCTTAAAAAGTTCTTGTCTTCTGATGGGCCCATCCATGAACAAATGTACACTCTTATTTTATAATGATTATAAAATATATGACACGATTAGCACCTCTAGGTTACCATTACATACTGAGTGAAGCCTATTCTACAAAGCTGAAACTTCAAACCTAAACAGAAGTTAATCCGTCACAGGTTAGGAAAACAATTATCTACTTGGAAGATGGGAAATAAGAAACTAAATGTTAAATATAATGATAACCCCTTTTCTTTATTCCTAATACCAAGTAAATGAGATTCAGTTTATAGCAAAATGATAAACTTCTGGCTTAGGCAGAATGAAAAGTGTATCAAAAAGACTGCTAGATGATTCAACAGAATTTTAAGTACATAAATGAGGGTAGGTAGGTGTGTGAGTGTGTAGATGAGGAAAGAGGGAGGAAGAAACAAAAAGAATGGAAAGATATGACAAAATAGTGTATTTGGTGACTGTAGGGTGTTGTTTACAGTATTCTAACATCTTTATGTAGCTTAAATGCTTTTTAAAATACAAAGGTGAAAAGAAAAAATATCTAGAAAAATACTAAAATATTGATACTCTGGATTATAAAATTACAAGTAACATTTTTAAACTTAATCTAGATCTTTCTGCAATGTAGAAATGCATTACTTGTAATAAAATGTTTTTAATAAACTTTTCTAGTTCAAGGTAAAAAAAAAAAAAAAAAAAAAAAAAGACTCCAAACATTTCTCTTCCCAGATAGGTCCCCAGTATTCTGCCCATGACCCCACAACCCATCTGCCTCTCTCAGTCCAGCCCCCCCATCACTGCCCACCACTAAGGCAGGCAGGTACTGTAAGTCAGACCATGCGTTTGAACTGCTGAAGCTGCCACGGACTTCCCCCACACCACACACACACACACACACACACACACACACACCTTGGACTGAGCCTGGCACCTGCCCAGGACCCAGGCATGCTCAGGTCAAGGGGACTTGAGATCAAAGACATCCCTCACCATCAGAACAAGTGGGGACAAGACAGCGCTGTGATCAGACATGCAGTTTTTAGCATCAGAGAAATCTGGCTCTGAGACCTACCAGGGCCAAGTCCTATTGCTGCTCTGAGCCTGTTTTCTCACCTCTAATATGGGAGAATAGTTATAATGACATTGTAGCACTTGCTCTATGGGCAAAGGCTGTGGTTTTATTGTGAAGGTTAAATGCATACACAGGCCAAGCACGGTGGTGCATTCCTGTTATCCCAGCTACTCAGGAGGCAGAGGTAGATCTCCAGTCTGGGCAAAGTCAGCAAGACCCTATCTCAGGAACAGTACAAACAAAAGGGCTGGGAGCATGGCTCAAATGGTAGAACACAAGTGTGAAGCCCTGGCTTCAATTCCCTGTATAGAGAAACAGTCAAACTTAAGTACCTGACACCTCGTAAGCTCTCAGTAACTAAGAGTAAAACTTGAAAGTTTGGCTCTGTGGGGACAGGTGTGGCCTAAGTGACTCAGCTCAGGGATGCTGAATTTTCCTTAAAAGAACCTCCTATAACTCAAATCTCTTCATCTATGAAGTGGTACTTCCTCACAGGGTAAACTCACAGGTGTTAAACTCAGATCGATGGGGGTCATTCACCCTCCAGAGAAGATGTTCAACTCCTCCCCCCCCCAGACCATTTCTAGCCTTACCAGGGTCCTCCCACTGCAGGGGACCCATTCCCAGGTCACTGGCTGCATTATCAGCGCCCCCTACTGGTCTGGTGGAGCTGCCTCCGTCTGCCTCCAGGAGACTAGATGGTGTTGGGGCTGGGGGCAGGGCTCATTCTCAGATTAGGGTGTGACGGCAGAGCTCTTTCCTGGGACTGTTTGGGACCCATTTCCTGAGTGGCTGTGCCAACTGCAAATATGAGGAGTACCCCTGGGCTATTCTCAGACCACAATGGCTATGATTATTAACCGATGTGTACTAAGTATCAGGTGCGTGTTAAGTGATTTGGGGCATTATCATTTTATCATTTTAACCTGCAGGATTCACACTATTATTATAATACTTATTTTGCATATTCTAAAATAGACTCAGAGAGGTGAGTAATTTACCCCAAGGCCACTCAGCTGGAGGAGGAGGGCAAGTTTTGCTGCCTGTATGGCTGCTCCCTGAATCCTATCACCTCTTCACCTGAGCTTATCCTAGAGAGTGGGATACAGGGGTGCTGTGCTAGCTGGGGCTCTTCATAACACAGGGACAGAAGGCCACAGGAACCACTTAATGCATCAGAGAATCCATTGCTGTCTGCCTGGGTGGCTGCTCTGTGACCTTAGGCCAGCCCCTATGGTCTGTGAAATGAGAGGCTGGGCCACATACCATGGAGCTCTTGCTGCCTCTGATTCTTCCCACATTCCCACCTCCTTTAAATCAGTACTCTTATTTATGATGCACTAGCTTCATAGCAGTCTAACCAAAGCCCAGACACTAGACCTCTTGGGATTCTGCTCCATGAGGTACCTGGAATTATGGGAAAAACTGCCTATGAGTGTCCACATTATTGCCCAATTCTAATCCCAAAAGGCTAAGAACCACTGTTTTTTCTAAACTTCCAGCACTTTCCTGACCTTGATCTAAATTTTTATGGGAATGAGCCATGAAAGTTGAATCCCAAGTCAAGAACGTTGAGTATAAAATGCTTCCCTTTGTGTTTTAAGATCCCTTCCACGCTCGAACCACATCGACCCATGGAGGCCTCTTGTCCTCCCTGCATCTGGTTTGTCTCCACCTGGACACCAAAGCTCCAATCTGTTCCATCTTGTCCTTAGAGTCCTCCTCAACCCTCATGTTTTCCCCTGGACAGTCACAGCCAGCGCCTTCAGATCTTTCAGGAGGTAGGTGCAATGACCAAGATGGCCAGCAGGGGTCGCAGGGACAGGGGGTGGGGTGGGTAGAATTGTGTCTAGGCCCCCTTGGAGGCCTGGGTATAAAGAATGCATGGCAGTAGGTGGGAGACCTGTCAGCAATCTGGCTCTTCCCCTCTGTGGGTCTCAGTTTTTCAGATCTGTAAAGTGCAAGGAGGTGGCTGAGATGTCAGTTTTCGGCACTGACATCGCTTGGACCTTTCTGATTGATGCTGGGGGGAGGGGACTATTTTGAGTTCTCCTTAGAAAAGGGAACAAGATATCCCAGACTTGGCTGAGATAGCAGATCCAACTGTGCACCCACTTAAAGGGGAGATCTACCACTGGTAAAAATGAGGCTCTATACAGGCACCCCGCGAGCTAAGTTGGGTGGTAAGGGAAATGGAGGCACCACTGGAGGCTTCCCAGGAGTGAGAAGGCCCACAGCCTGGGTGACAGGTGGTAGTCTCCTGGCATATAGCTTCTGAACATTTCTAGAAAAGCCCAAGCCAGCCTATCTTGCCCTTAGCAGCTGCAAGCTTTAGAATCAGGGCTAGAGCCTGATTCAGCTCAGCTGATGTTTGCTCAGCTGCTGGGGGCTCTGAGCCTTCTTCTTAACCCTGTCTCCACCAGCTCCTAATTCTGGGCTCAAGCATAGCAGGGCAAGTGCCCAGGCATGCAGGAGGTGATCCCTGCAGGCATGTGTAGGAGAGCTCCAGGACCCCGACAAGGGAGAAGACCTTCCCCCACCCCTGCCTGCTCATGCTCTTTACCCTGTCCCCGCCACCCCCTAAATGACTGAAGAACAGGGTATAGGCATGACATGATGTAGAACATTCTTTACAAAAGTTTTAATGAGCCTGAGGGAAGAGTTCATGTACAGTGGTGGGAGTCGCAGAGGCTGGCCTACCTTGGCCCAAGGAGAACCAGGAGGGACTGAGGTGTTTAAACAGACAGGGAACGGACAGGAAAGGCAGCACCTGGGGCCAGGAGAAGGACGAATCGGCACTTGGAGCCCCAGGCTCAAGCTCAGAGGATAGAGAGAAGGGCTGGGATAGGCTCAAGGGTGGCCATGGCAGGTAGCCAGGCCCCCAGGGTCCTCTGGTGGGAAGTGGACCACCTCCTTCACATCCCAACTCTGGGCATGTGTGTGGATGGGACCCTCACACAGACCTGGAAGAGGTTTTTGGGGGGCTCTTTCCCCTTTTCAGTGAAGGGGGCCCAGGGAAGGAGCTGGGGGCTGTGGCCATGCTCTAGTGAGGCTGCTTCCCAAACTGGGGTCAGGGATGGGGGTCCACTGCAGACAAGAAAGGTATGTCTGCTTGGGGTACACACATGTGGGGGCCTCCTGAGGGACTCTTCCACCTTTGTGACCTTAGTCTTGTGGGAGTTCTGAGGACATACTCTGAGGACCCACCCTCTAGGCTAACCTTTCTCCTGGTCTTAACACCATCACAGAGCTGGGACACACAATAATCCAATGTCTGTCTGTCTCTCTTTCTCTCTCTTTCTGTCTCTCTGTCTTTCTCTCTCTCTCACTGCATCTTCCTCTCTGTCTCTCTCTCCTTTATCCACCCCCAATCCATGCAGAAGCACATAGCAATCCAGGCCCTTCCAGACACCAACACAACAAAGATACACACATGTGCACTTGCATACATGCACACACAGCCCTAAGGGCCTGGTCACAACTAGCAGTTTAGATTATCCACATCTTCAAGTATCCAGTGTCTTCCTCACAGGGCTTCTCTACACTAGGCCTAACACCCAGCTGTGCCCAGCCCCCACCTGTCTGGGCCTGGGAAACTGGGCAGTTGGTAGATACCATTTTCAACCAACTGTGCCTGCCAGCCCTGGGGACTGTAACAATGCAGACTGCTGCTCTAGCACCTTGCATCTTGTGTCCTGGCCTTCTGGGACCCTGGGGAGGCTGAAGGAGGACAGGCTGGACTCCCACAAGGTGAGCTGGGAAGGGTGCTAGCCCACCCCAGGTCACTCTTCAGTTCCAGCCATAACCAGTGGGTGAAGGGTAGTGGGCTGGTCTTCCATGTGTATGGAGGTGGTAGGAACTGAAAGACAGGATATTTGGCTGAAGAGTCTGGCTGGGAAGCCTCCCCTCTGGAGTGTATAGGGGAGAGGAGGCCCAAACTCTTCCCTTCACAGAAAGTAGGAGGTGAGCAAGTCTCCAGCCTGAGAGAGCAAGACCCGCAGAGGAGGGCAGGGGAGAGAGGCAGGAGACACAGTGTGCCTGAGACAGTCTGGGCCTCTCCCTTGCCCTGCTTCCCATCCAGCTCCAGTGTTGTCTGGTCCCCAGGGCAAGAGGCTCCTGCCCTTCCTCTGGGGCTGGCCTTCCACAAATCCACTCATTCTTCAAGGTTTCTTAGATGGGGTGGTTCAGGGACTCCAGGATGCTCAGGTGTCCCTCTGGGTGCCCTCAGGCTGTACCCTCCCTGCACAGGCTGTCCAGGGAGATGGTCCTTGCTCCTGGGAAAGGGGCTGCAGGGCTGGCAATTATGAGGACCTCATGGCCTCACCTTGTGTTGTGGCAACTTGCAATTCATTTTGGTCTGGGGAGAGGAGCCCCTGTTATCTGTAGAGGAAAAGACAGACAGAAAGCAACCTTAGAAACAGCTGTCTAAGACATCATTTTCAACCAGGACCGGCCATTTTGATGATTTAGCCTGGGCAGGCTTGATGGTCAGGGGTGGGAGACACTTAACTGTCCATCCCCCAAACTGTACACCAGACTGCCTCCCATCCCTGCCCCAGGCACTCAAGGTAAGGGCTATAGATACCAGATGGAAGGACAGTGTTTGCTGGGCTTGTGGGATGCCATGGGGGAGGGGCAGAGCAGAGACTAGCCAACAGAAGTGTGGTGGTAGCCTTGGGCAGCTGTGATGGCTTTGTGAGTACAATTCTGCCTCCGAGACTGCTGTTCCCCATTGGGAACATTTGCTCACACTCCTGGCTGCTGGGTTTGGGGACACTGATAAAAACATGTGCCATTAGGGCTTGGTCAGTTGAGAAGACCTGCTAGCTGCCACATCCTAGATCCCATAGGAGCCTCCTTGTCCTCAGGCCCTACAGCAGGCCATACAGATCAGAGACCATGTCCAGCTCTGCATCAAGCAGCTGCAGGACATGCAGTGAGCTATTTTCCACCCCCTGAGCCTCCTCTTGCTTAACTGTTGTACACTGGGGATGATGGGACTCAGAATTGAACAATTCATCATGCACTTTTTCAAGGGCACAGCCAAGTACCTGGAAGGTGGTAGGCTCAAAAACATCCTAGATGGGATTATTATGACTACTGTATCTCATTGACACTAAAATACCTATTTTTCCACATTTTGTTATCTCCAGAACTAAGGAACCTTTCACATCAGCTGTGATTAAAAAAAAAAAAAAAGCCTCCAGTCATTTAATTGACAGCTACTTTTTTCTGAACTGGTGACAAATTGTAATTGATAGCAATCTAAATTTTATAAAATATATTTGCCGCCACCCACTCCTGAAAAGGCAGTCTTCCAATCCCCAGCTCTCCTCCCTTCCCCCATCCCAAGCTGGTACTCACAACTCTGTGTCCTCCAGGGCGGGTGGGCGCTCCAGTGCTTGCCTCCGCCTCCTCACGGCCCCCATGATCTTCTTGCGGGGCCCTAAGGGAACGCTGATGCTGCGGAGGTCGAGGTCAGAGCACAGCATCAGCGCCTCCAAGTCGATCTTCTCCTGTCTCAGGAGGGCAGCAAAGTCCTCCATGTGCAGTGAGGCCAGGAAAGTCTCCAGCGGGCTGGTCTCAGGCTCCAGATCCTCATCTAGCCCTAAGTCCAGCTCATCCCAGGGCAGCTCCTCCCCGCAGCTGCGGTCCTGCAGGCTGTTGGCACTGCCCAGGCTGTCGTCGTCCAGGCTGGGGGAGCTCTGCAGCCGACCCCGCGGTGTGCCCGCCCCATCCAGGCCCCCATCCTCCCGGCCCAGCCCATGCAGCCCACTGCTCAAGTAGTTCCTGCGGAACACCATGGTGCCCAGACCTGGGCGGGTAAACAGAGAGTCGTGACCTGAGTCTGTGCTGACCTCCGAGTGGGCAGGCTCGGCCGCCAGCGTGGCACGGGAGACGCTGTCCTCATCCGAGAGGAACATGTCCCGGAGTGGGGCACGGCCCCACTCCTTGGGGTTGGCGTAGGTGCCCTGGCGCACAAACATCACGTCGCTGCCCAGTTGCAGGCCGGAGAGCGAGCGGACGCTTTTGCGACCGTCCTCGGAGACCTTGAAGGTGCCCTCGCCGCCCTGCTTGCGCCGCTCCAGCTTCTTCTGGATCTTGGTCTTGCTCTTGGCGGTGCCATGCAACGTGGCCTGCGAGTAGGGCAGGTGGCTGCCCAGAGTCAGGTGCTGCAGCCGGCGGCTCAGGGTGCTGGACGTGAGGCTGGAGAAGCTGAGCGTGTCGGAGCGCTCGGCCAGCTCGCGCCGGTAGCGCCGCTCCATGCGCTCGTGGTGTTTGCGTTGCATCTTGGCGCACTCGCGGATGCGCCGCTCAGCCTCGCGAAAGGCTTTGTCCTTCAGCTTGCCCACCAGCTTGGGGTTGAGGCTGCTCTGCTTGGCAGCGATGGAATCCAGGTAGCGCACGCACTCCATGTGGCCCTTCATGGCGGCCATGTCCAGAGGCGTGTGATAGTCATTGTCCAGGCACCAGATGTTGGCCCCAAAGGACACCAGGAAAGACAGGCAGTGCAGGTGGCCATTGGAAGCTGCCAGATGCAGAGGTGTGTTGCCCCAGATGTCACACTTGTCCGGATCACCCCTGCAGGGACAACATGTGGGAAGGAATGATGAGTGGTCTTAAGAAAGAAGGGAGGGCTCCCAGCTTGTTGAACTTCCCTACAGGCAAAACAGCCCCAAAGGGATTCATGGGACTGAGACCTCTCCCAGGAACTCCAAGAGACCTGCTGGCTGGAGCCACCAATCCGACACACTGTAGTGAGTCCAGGGGGAAATGGCCCAGCCCGCAAGAGGCGGAGACAGAGAAGGCGGAGCCAGGGCGGGGCCTTCCCCAAGAGCACTAAGGGCTGGGAATCTCAGGGGATAAATATTTGATGCCCTGAGAGAAAGGAGTGAATTATTCATTTGCCCAGCAGGGAGCTGGCCCAGAGAGTTGGTGGGCCAGGGCCGAGCCTGGGTCTCTAGGCAGCTGCCGGTGGGCAGTGTGACCACATGTTACAGCATCACCATGAAAGAGGACAACAGGGTGGTGTGTGCTGGGCCTGACCCTGGATGAGCTCGAGGGTTGGTGCTTGCATGCAGTGGAGCAGGGCCAGGGTTGGCAAGACCAGTGTTAGAGCAGGTGTTGGGTCTTGGCCTGGGCCAGAAGGGGACTGTGGGGACAGCCAGGACTGAAGAGGAAGAGGAAGGTTGCCAGCCTAGTGGGGCTGCCCTCCCTTGCTCAGACCCTGCATCTCTGGGAGTGTTGTGAGTTTGACTGCAGGGGCGCCTACAAACCCCTCTAACACCCTCCATGCCAAGTTCTGGTCCACCCCCACCCCCACCCTGGGGCAGCTCCTGCTGGCTCCTCCTGAATTCTTGCCTCCCTCAGGGAACCTAGCATAGGTCCCCGCCCCACACTAATGAGGCCATGAGGCCTTGAGGCCATGCCGGGGCTGGGAAAACAATCACTCCCTTGTCTCAATATCTCCCCTCACTCCCTCCTGCTCAGCCTCCCCCACTCTTGCCAAGTCCTCAGGACAGTATGAGAGGGGGCCACTGGGCATCAGACCCATACCCACTGAGCACCAATCCTTGCCTCTGTAGAGCTTGGGGGTAGGGGTTGCTGCACCAAGGAGAGCTCTCATCCTCCTCAGGCCCCTTCATGAGACTATGAGTCTCTGATGAAAGGGAAGGGGGACAGTGCTCCTATGTACCCTCCTGAAATGAGGAAGAGTTAATTAGTTTGGGCTTCTTGCTAATCTTAGGGGCTTCTGGGTCCAAGAAGCAGCCACAGAAGGAGAGCAAGGGGGTTTCCCCCACCTATCACAGGCTCAGGCCACAGGCCAGTACTCAGTACCAGTGCCAGCTTAGTCCCTGCCCCTCTCCCCACTAATGTGTCTGAGACATCATGTGAACCCTCCTGGGACATCTCTCCTACCCCTTTTCCTGTCCAGGCCACACCGGTGTCCAAGCCAGCTTGGGGGTATTATCAAACTGGTGGGGATAGGAAGGTGTTCCCAGTAGTGTGACTTACCACCCAACTCACTTTAGTGGCTTTGGGCCTGCATTCCTCAACTGCTACCTCCCCATCACAAGTATTATCTAGAATCTGTACCAACTCTCCCCACAAGACTCCTCCAGGAGAGGAGGGGGAACAGAGCTCCTTCAGCCTGCTATGGCCTCCATTGCTCTGCTGTGCCCTGCTGTGGGGGAGGGGCACCAAGAGAGTTAGTGGGGTCACTGCACCAGTGACATTTGGTACTGTGGACAGTGCTCATAAATTCCAGGAATGAGCAGAGTAAGGGAGAGGGTGGTGTGACACCCAGACTGCGGGGGGGTGGGGGGGGTGGGGGGTGCTGGCTGGGAGAGTCTTTTGGCTCATAAACTGGGGAATGGGCAGTGAGGACCCTCTCTCCTAGTCCCCACTTCTGGGCTCTCTGAGACTTCCCAGCCTTCTCTCCAGTTCCCACTTTCCCCTTCACTCTTGCTTCCAGGTGCACCCCCCCCCATGAGACCTCTCCCACTTTCCCTCTCTGCAGCACACCTCCCACAATCATGGACCCCCCCCCCAAATCCCAGTTCCTCTCCTCCCAGCCCTTCATCCAGGTCACAAGTGTCACATGCCTCAGCTGATAGTCCTCTCCACGTGTGTCTCCCCTATGCATTCCAGCCTCCAAGGTGCCACCTTAGAGTCTGTCCATAGGGAAAGACCACAGAAACGATGCCATGAGTCTTACCAAGACATCTGAGCCGGTCACCCCGGTTGGAGGGGGGGGTGGACCTCCCGCAGCCCTGGGCTTCCCCTGGGTCCTAAACGCCTAGCTTCTCAGAGCACAGAGATGACCCATGTGAGGCCCTGCTCTTTCTCCAAAAGCGCCACCCCAGCGCTCCCCCCTCCCCACCCCGCACACACACTTGGAGGCACAGAGCCGCGGCTCCGGATTTCTCCACCTATCAAGGAACGGGTCAAGGGCAAGGAAAGATGTCTAAGGGAGGGGTGGCTGGGGCAGTCTTGACCCCTGGGACAGTGGGCCTAGAGGGACAAGACAGTCCGCGAGTAGCACGCGGCAGCTGGGACAGCCATCTCCTGGCAACGGGGTTGGCCAGCCATGCTCCAGCAAGGGGCGCTAGAGGACTGGGAGCCGACTGAGCTCACAGCGTGGGAACTTCGGACCTAAGCCCCGGACTTGGACTTCGCAGCACCCACCGAGCAGCTGAGGGGGGTGCGGCAGGGATAAAAGAAGGAACTTAGATCACTGTGAGGGCAGGTGGGGGAAAAGGGGAACTGGTGTCCCGATCCAGGGGCAGCAACCGAGGGCAAAGGTGTAGGGTGCACCGGCCTGGGAGGGCGTTAGGGTGCCGGTGGGCACTTGGGGTGTCTCTTGAGCGTCAGCTCAGGGGGCTCTGGCGAGCGCGATCTCAACGCACCAGTTGCCATGGGCGCGGGGCAGATGCCCTCCGGGTGCCGCAGTGCAGGGCTGTGCCAGGGTGGCGGTGAGGGTTGGGTGGGGGGTGTCTTAACAGGTAAATATAAATCTCGCCTTATCTGGCTCCCGCGCTCTCTTCCCTAAATTCAGCTCGTAGAAAAGATGGATCATGTGAGTGCAACTGAGAGGTTTATGGAGCCGGGCTGTTGTGGCTGTAAATCACTTTGCCCTTTTGGGTATAAAGCGTCCGTCCAGCCCTGCGTAGGAGAGAGGAGACGCCCGCCACCCCTTAACCCCCAACTCTGCGTCGACTCCCAGCCCAGCCAGGTGCGTGCTCCAGGCCAGTGTTCTGTTGGATTTTGGAAGTGGGACCTTGGACAGGGTCTGCATCTCCTTTCTTTCCCGTTGAGACGGAGAGGTGCAGGCTGGGGTTTTTTTCTGCCCTTTCTCCAGAACTTCTTACAAAACCCTTGGCCCCAACCCTCGGGGTTAGAAACCCCCGCCCCCAAATCTAGGGATAAGATGGGAGAAAGGAGAGCCTTCGGGGTTGACCTGGAGTCCTGTCCGCTCCTCCCCCGCAGTGATCCCTCTAACCTCCTCCAGTCGCCCTCACCATGTCCGAGGAGCTGGCCCCGGGCCCCGAGGGCCCACCGGCGCCACCGGCAGGCCCCCGAGAGGTGTGGAAGAAGGGCGGCCGCCTGCTGTCGGTGCTGCTGGCCGTGAACGTGCTGCTGCTCGCCTGCACGCTCATCAGTGGCGGCGCCTTCAACAAAGTGGCAGTGTATGACACCGACGTGTTCGCGCTGCTCACCGCCATGATGCTGCTGGCGGTGCTCTGGATCCTCTTCTACCTCCTCCGCACCACGCGCTGCCCGGACGCGGTGCCCTACCACGACGCACACGCAGGCCCCATCTGGCTCCGAGGTGCTGGGGGAGGTGGGGACAGAAGTGGAGTGGGCATGGTGGGGAGTCGCCAGCTGGGGTTCTTGGAGGACCTGCAGCTGAAGGTGTGGATGGACCTACTGAGAGGAGAAGGCAGGGAAGGAAGTCTTAGAGGAGGGATGAATAGTGGGGCAGAGGATTTGACAAGGAATAGAAGGCAACACCTGCTGACCATTTAGAACCATTTAGGAACCTTTCCCGTATCTATGCAGCCCCTAAGAGGGGCACAAGAAGACTTCCATCCATCTGTCCACTCAATCATGCACTCAACCTTCCATCCACCCCTTCATCTTTCAGTCCTTCAGTTTGCCCATTCACCTATTCACTCATCCATCCTCCCAGCCTCCCCATTCATCCATCCACCTGTTCATTCATGCACTCATCCTTCCATCTATCCAATCCTCTTTCAATCCATCCATTTGCCCATTCCTGTGTTCATCCATCCATCCAACCACCCATCATCCAGCCATTCACTACACTCACACCTCTAGCCATCCATCTTCAGGGCCCATCCTCTGCTCTGCAAGCTCTCTCTCCTTCCTCTTTAAAACACCACCACCACCCTGCTGCCCCGATTCTCAGGTGGACTGGTGTTGTTTGGGATCTGCACTGTCGTCATGGATGTCTTCAAGACCGGGTACTACTCCAGTTTCTTTGAGTGTCAGTCGACCATCAAGATCCTGCACCCCATCATCCAGGCTGTGTTTGTCATTGTCCAGGTGGGTGGGAGGCATGTCCCTGCGTGTGGGGGAGGGGAGCCAGTGTTTGGCAAGGGGTCAGGAGACCCGAGCTCCACACCCCCTTCTATCCTGAGCAACTAAATAAATGGGATAGGACAGTAGTTCATAAATGGGGAAGCATTGAGTAATGAAGTAATTCTTAAATGTGAACTCCTCCTTAGGGGCACTGCAATTTTATTTCAACCTAAGCAGTGCCGGTAGTTAACACCTAGGAGGTGTGAGTTGTGACAGGCAGCCTGTGTGCTAGAACCTAGCATGCCCTCCTTGGGTTCCCAAGAGTACATCATTCTCAGCCGAGGGTCATGCCGTGGCTGTGGCCCATTTGGCCTCAGTCTTGGCTCCCAGGTTCAGTATTTATCCGGGAGGTGGTATATCCCGTAACTAAGATTTGTTTCAGATGAGTTCATTTTCTTTTTAGTTTGTCGCATACACATCATTTTGGAAAGTCTAACATGGGAGCAGAAGACAGCCTGGCCCCATAGCATGACCAGAAGGACCGTAGGGATGGTGCCCTGCTCTGAAGCACCCCGCGTGTCCCATGGTTTAACATACATGTACCCTTGGCATTTACATAGTTTTAGTCCTTTACATTTCATGAGTTTGAAGAATACTCAGGTAAAAATGACAATACAAATACCCCTCTCCCCATCAACAAACCCCAGTC